GGGGTGAACACACTTTGTACCAGCAACCTCAGATAATAAAATAATAATCATCTTGGCTGACTCTCTATGGCTAAAAATAAAAATGTAGTTTGATAATCTTTTGGATAAAAATGATCTTTCAGCCCATCTCTATGACAAATATTTCCCTCCACCACATGTTCTGTATTCCCTTCTCTTTTAAGCAGATTTACCATAAAATTGGCCCGGGCACGTTGCATGTCTCTGCAAATCAGATAACTCTCCCAACAACAGCGGGCTGAGCCTGTCATCCATGGCAGCGTGCTCCAAGGCATGATTATACAGTTGGACACAATCCTGGTGGATGTGGAACGAGCTCTACACCGGCTGGTTTTGTGGCTCAGGACGTTTGAGTGGGGTTTTTATGCTGGTTTAGTTGCATGTAAAGGTTTTGAAACACAACGTTGGAAAAACACTCGTACATCTTTTTGATTGAGACATTTATGGAGAAATGTCACTTCCATGTGAGTTTAGATTACACCTGACAGCTGCTTAGATTAGTTTGGGGAAAGTCCCTCTGGTTTAGGTCACTTAGTCCAGTGGTTTACAAATGTAGGTTTTTATTTGTTGTTGTTGTTTGTTTTTTTTTAGATGAGACATGCTGCTAGGAGTTACAAAATGGTGGGGGTATGCAAAATTGACTTTTTTGAGCTTTGTATAATGTCATTCCTTCATCAAAAACATACCCAGAGAGTTGCTTTGACTCGTTCATGCATGTTTGAGAAATCCTTGACTCTCCTCTGGTGGCCATGTGGAGTTGCCTAAATGCTTGCTGGTGCAAAGCTCCGCCTGTTTTTACCTAGCTCCTCCCTGGAGCTCAGTCTGCAGCCGACCTCCCGCCCCCACAGAGCACTCCTCTCCATAGTTGTGAAGATGTGCTGAAGTGGGAGTGTCAGAAACGGTAGGAGGTTCTTTAAAAAAAAATGAGGCCAATTACAAGGTGTTTAGAACAGCTATGATGCAAATTTAAATCTATTTTGGATATGTGCAGCATTTTCATAACAACTCAAGGTAACATGAGGCGTTTTTGCAATGCCTGCTTCGGCTCGGCCTTACTCTGCTCCAGCCTGGGATGTGTTTGGATTGAGCAAAAAGCCGCTTCGATGTGGGCGGAATCATAATATTAAACATATACAATCTTATTTTGTTTGTGACAGAACAATAATGGATTACACCAAACTAAAAGGAAAAGTACTGAATGTTGAACCAGACCAACCAGCAGTATGATGCTTAAGACAAGAGGGCAGGACAAGAAGGTTAAACTAACATTAGCTTTTTGTTTGTTAGCTTGCTACTGTTGTTCTGTAGTTGAACATGTGTGAAAAAACATTACATTCGCTGCAAACAATTCACATAACCTTACTCTCATCTTTGTGATGTCGCTCTTGAGGTTCCAGTCCCGAACCCGGGTTTGAACCATTGAACTATGAGCCTGGAAAACACATAGTTCTCTCTTCCCACCCACCGCACCCCCACTAATTGCCAGGAAATGGTTTAACATTCTATAAATAAAAAATAAAAACAGCAAAAAAAAAAATTTTTTTTTTGAAATTATAAAGCCTGTTTAGATAATTTCCATCTGTTCTCTGACATTTTGTGTGAAATCTAGGGTGGTCCCCAAATACAAACTTCTACTTTTCCAAGGTGCTTCTTCATTTTTATTTTTATTTTTTTGTTCCATTTGGGGAAAAAAATAAATGGGGTGAAATTTCATAAGATTTGAAATATACTAACCACTGCCGCTCAACCCGTTTTTGTGCCACGCGAGTGAAATTTTGAGTTCTGATTCTGTCATTGCCAAGGCCACCAGCGCGATGTGAGAAATCTGTGGTATCTGAGTAAAGAACTGGCCAGACTTGTCATATTTGTCAGCAGCATTGCACATGATGATCGTAGCTGTTCTCAGGGAG